TTTGTTACTTTTTTATTCCTCTGAAAAAAAAAAGTAAGAAATGCAGAGATTTCATAATAATTATCATAGCACTGAACTTATATTATGAAAAAAAATGTTAAAATGGGATTTGCCCATTTTAGCAATCAAGGGAAGACTGGTGTAAGGAATTATCAAATAAAATTTGACACTTTATAAGCCACGTCAAATGCTGCCTTCACAATTGTCTGTCTTAAATCATCTGGTCTCATTGGAGTTTTTGGTTTCCCTAATAAAAGATGCTTAAAACTCTAGAAATTAAGTCAAACTGACCTAGAAAAAGACTTCTGAGGGTGTGGGGGGAAGGAAAAGACAAAAAGACAAAGGAAAAGAGAAAAAAGGGAAAGCAAAGGAAATAGAGAAAAAGAAAGGTCAGTCTTAACTGTTGATAGATATCCCTCATTGTAATTGTTTCTGAGGGTCTTATTCATCAGTCTTCTATGAGAATATTACGGGGAAAATTGAAGGCACTTCATCACCACAGCCTCCATTCTACTGCAGATGATCCATTTCATGTGCCATACCAGAATCATAAGTTGGACTGCAGCCTAGAAAAATACTTAAGGAGAGAAGGGTAACCGCCAATTATCATGATCAGTTTGAAAATGACAAGTAGATTTAATTTTTGAAAAATGCTGGCACTTCTATTTTATTTATTTATTTATTTTTGTTTAATTTGTCAAAGCAGAACAAAATAAAAATATAAGTGTTTGAAACATTTCATATTGTTTCATTATTGTTTCCCTTCCAGTATCTTCTCTGAAAATCCCAGTTAGGTCAGAACCACCTTGTCAGCTAACTGTCTTGCAAGGAACCAAACACTCTGGAGAGAACAACTTGACATACTTGGAACAAAAATAATCAGGAGGAAATTAAATGAGACTAGGAGGTTTGAAGTTACTCCACAATTTATAAATTGAATTAGGAATAGAGTTACCTGCATGTAAAAGGATCAGACTTCAGAGCAGGATGAAGTACTTTTTATTCCCCTCAGCTGCTTCAGATGACTGACTCATTAAACATACTGACAGGTCCCTATGTTTTTATATATATGTATCATATATATATATTATATATACATATATAAATGCAGAGATGTGCATAGGGTAAGATACCCATACAGGGGTATCTTACCTGTTGCTTCTGCTACATATGGACTATGTAGCAGAAGCAACAGGTAAGATACCCCTGTATTGCACCAAACTTCTTGTCTCTCTCATTCTAGACCAGTATTTTATTGAAGAACTTTTATTATGGCCCAGGCTTATTATCAAAATGTTTGTGTTTCCAAAATATATTTTCCTTATGGTTTACTAAGGCATTTATCTGCTGTGAAATCTCATCACTGGTTAATGCTCTGAAAGCATTTCTGAAGTTGAAAAAAATACCCCAATTGTAGCTCAGTTGTTTGTTTGTTTTTGTAGGTGGAATAAATAGATTAGTAGCAATTGCTACCACAGTCTTTCATGCCTACTTTGTATTGCAAATTGTTTACCAGATGCTCCCTTTTATTTCTTTTATTTGATAGCCATCAATAAACTTTCCTAAACTTTCTTGTGCTGATGTTAAGCAAAAATATCTCCGGTGGAGCCAGTGTCTGTACATTAGCGGAAAGTGGGAATGAATGGGAAAGGTGTCTTATGCTCTTTGCAATAATGTTCAGTACATTACGTACATTCCATTAGTCTGGAAGGCACTTCTCAAATGTCCAAAAGGAGAATCTCTCTTCAGAATAACACAAAATAGGCAAAAACTAAAGAAGGAGATGAAAGAAGTAATGTGTGAGGTCATTTTGCATGAGGTCATTGTAACCATGAAGAGAAATGGATTCTTCTTAAATTTTATTACTGGAGAAAAGGAAATTTTGTACCTGAAGCCAAGACAAGGAGAAAGTACTTCACAGTGGTGAAAAGGCTGGAAAGAGCAGTGACACTACTGAAAGACAAAGACAGCTAGGGAGAAATAATACTGTGAAAACCATGAAAATGTGTTATAGAATATGAAATTTCTATCTGAGATGAATTCCAGACTTAGCAGATGTGCACTGAATTACCAAATCTCAAAATTTCATATGTAGAATTGGGTGACTCCTTTAGTCTACCTGTATCTGAGTTTTCTATCAGTAAAATGAAAATTAAAAGATGAGAACCAAATAAATTTAGCTCAGACAGGAAGGAAAAAATGTATCTTGCAAGACATATGGAGTAATTTTAGTAATCCTTCTAATCTATTCAGAGGCTTTAGCTGAAACACTTTCCTCAGTGTTGCACAACAAACTTTAAAATGGTTGTGAACAGTTGGAAGGAGTCCAAAGAATAAAGGAAAACAATTATAGAAAGAAGTATCGCCCCAAGAAAGACAGAAAAAAAATGCAGTTGTTGAAACTTGAGATAATACAAAACAAGACAACTATACAAATGTATAAGGGGATCAGAAAATAATAAATAAAATTATGTGTTCTCCATACCTGTAGTGGATAATGAAGGACAAGTGTAGGTTGTATGAGAATGCTGCAAAATCTGCATTACAGGAGATCCTTATCTATGAGTTTGGCAAATATCAGCCAGGAATAATGTGCTTCAGGAGTTGCCACTGACTTTAGTGAAACAAAAATTATATATAAATATATATGTATTTATATTTATATGTATTAATTATGTATTTATATTGGCAACCTATGGGATGCCAATATAAATACATAATTAATCATCAAAACATATCATCAAACCAGATGATCATCAAACCAGATGATCTTTAAGGTCCCTTCCAACCCAAGACATTCTATGATTAAAATCTGGTGTTTTGTTCATTGTTTAAATTTATGAATAATTCAACATTCAAAAGATGTTGGCAATGCCATCACATAGGGAATGTCAGTTTCCTGAACTGGCCTACAGGAGAAAGCTATCCTTCACTTCATCTGTTTTGTAAAAGGAAATTAATTTTGTTACACAACTACTTCCTTCTTTAATATACTTTGAATGCATTGGTGTTACTGAGGGAGATGCCTCATCAAAATCTGCATGTTTTATTTTAGATTTAAACTTACAAAATTTACAGGTTTTTGTTTTTTGTTTTTGTTTTGTTTTTTAGTCCAGTAAATTGGAAAATAATGAGAGATATAACACTCTTTCTTCCTCGTTATTGAGGGAATTGGACTATTAATAATTTCTTCATTATTTAAATTTAATCTAGAGGTATCTTCAAATACATCATTGTTTTTGTTAAAGGAAAGAAAGCAAGCTTTGAATTTCAAAGGTGAATATTGCAAATAGTGGGTCATTATGGTCAAAACAGTTTTTATTTCCTTTAAGAGATTAGTCTACAAGACACAAAGATTTTAATTATAAAGTACAGACTGCACAATAGAAAACCAAATTTTGATAGAGCGAATTGCTAGCATACTTCTAAAGCTTCATTCATGAAAGACATAAGGACTCGACCATATCCTATTTGTACATGTAGGAATAAGAATGTCTGTGAAAAGAAATGCAAAGTCAACAGGACCTTGAGAAAGAACTGACAGAATAATCTTTCAGAAATAACTCCTCTTCACTGAAAGGAATCTCTTCGCTCAGGCTACCTCTGACTTATTTTCTCCCTCTTAATGCTAAGAGTTTCATTTTGTGTAGTCAGCTGCTCTCAATGGAGACAGCAAGTGTTCCCTGTGCTGAGTGGGTGATGTGCCAGTTGCATTCAAGGAGGCATTGTCTTCCCTGCTGAGGGATCCATCACTTGCCACTGCTTTAGATATCATAGAATCATAGAATATCCTGAGATACTAGCAGCCACACCTCAGGGTAAGAGCTCCTTCCCTTCAAAGCTTGTATTACCAAGGAGTTGTATTACCTAAGTTTCCAGTCTCATTGTTTCTTTAAATCCATTTTATCTGTTTTCAGACTGCATATTACTTGCAATAATCAGCGTAGCCAAGAATTAGATAAAGACCCAGATTTGTACAGTCAGATCACAGAATCTAAGGGAAAACTTGTGGAGAAGAAAAAAAAAAAAAGTAAGGCCTTTGAGCAGTCTCAGAAGTTTCTGCAGTTTTAAATGTATTTTATATCTATGTCTTTGCTATTTGATAAGGAATTAGATAGGTAGAGTCACTGTCCCTGGAGGTGTTTAAGGAAAGGTTGGGTGTGTTACTTAGGAGCAGTGGGTGACATCAGTGGTAGGGGGGCAGTTGTACCAGATGATCTTGGAGGTCTTTTCAAACCTTCATGATTCTATGACTTTATGTTCTCTCATTCTGAGGACAGGAAGCACAGATAATCCCATTTGGCTAAACTCCCTTTCCATTCCTAAAACCAAGAAGCCATGGTTTCCCTATCTAAAACCAATAAACCTTCAGAATGTCATGCCCAGACTGCACCTATGAATTATTTCAGACCTCTATCCCAAGCATTTCCAAGAGTGCTTTTTGGGATGGGCCAAAATCTGAAGATATGAATAGTCATAGACTCCTCTACTCGTCAAGAAATCATTTTAGGATTGCTAATAAAAACTGGTTGTCCACTTAGTATCCTCAAATATCCATGACAAAAAACATATTTTGTTCTCTGGAATAGTATGGCAAATGTGATTTTGTATGTATGGCAAATGTGATTTTGTAATTCCTTTGTGTTCCTGGTTGTTTTTGCCAAGGTGATGTTTATCTAAATATTAGATTTGTACAAATGTCTGACTGTTCAGGACCTGAAAATAAACCCTAAATCAATATGTGCTTCCAAACTAGCTTGTTTGGCCACAGTATTTCAGGACATTATAAAATGTCTGCTGCAAGTGGTCTTACTGATGCGAATCAGATATTTCCTTCTATGCTTTTAATTTTTAAGATTTGGGGCAGGAATAGATCACTCTTTCCTATGTAATTCTGACTTGTTTAGACTCAGCTAAAGTATTAAATTGAGGTACATTTGAAAAAGGAAAGATTAGCCCTCTGGTTTGTTGAGTAAAACACTGACAAAACAGAGTGAACATTATTTCATCAGCCAGAAATATATTTTCTCTCACACATGTGGAATGGGGCCAACAAATAATCTGGGCAATTAGACTCTAACGTACCTATTCATAGGCAAACAAGAGGAAATAGTTAATAAGTGTCTGTAAATAAATTGCTGTTTTTTCAAAACAGATTTCAAATGAGTAAAATGTTTTACTTGCTCCTACCTCTATCTCTATACCTCTCAGCAATGTATATGACCTGAGCAAAATCAAGTTCCATACATTAATTTATATGGCATTGCACAGGAAAATCTGGAATGGTTTATTACTTTTCAAACATGTACTTTTCATCATTACTTATTATTCGTGGCATTAAAAGGTATCCAGTTAACATATAAATGTTCTGTACCTAACACAAGAAACATATAGATTCAATGTGTTAATGTATTGGGATCACAGGATACTTGTCCCAATGTCTAACACAGAACACTTCTAAGAAACATCCTTGTAAGGCTGCCAACAACTTTTGTATAGATCCCTGTGTTCTTCAAGGTAAGTCTTTGTACTTTTTAGCTGTGTAGACCAGACTAATAGTAACCATTAATTACTTCTCAGTGGGTTATCGTACCTCAGCTGAGCTATGGTAACCCACTCTGAAGATACTTTCTTGTCCTAAAACCATAAATAATATATATTATCTCACATTTGCCACAGCCTAAAAATACATGTACAGACAGTCATTTACCATAGCTAGGCTGATGAATGGTAACTTAGTAACTAGCTGTAATTTGGTCATCACTATAAGTCCACTTTTTATCTCATTTTCATGTTTGTGAGGCAAAGTGTTTTGTGTCCTGCAATTAATAACATAACTGTTCACCAGCACAGAAACTCTCAGATATTCATTTGGATCTGTATTACAGGTTCTGTTTCAATGGTGAATCTCCCAGAAACCTCAGTGTTATTTTTACTTCCTTATACTGAAAGGAAATTTCCCCTAAATCATTAATTCTTGGCCTAAACTCTAGGGACTGGGAGAAGAGCCATAATTGGAGGGAAGGAGGAAAGATGGAGAGAAGACATTTAAAAAAGCTCTGAGTCAGTAGGTGACCTTATTATATGAAATCCTAAGAAGATGAAAGAAATCACTGACCTGAAAATGAACATAAAAGGGTGACGATTAATAAACTGCAGTCACACAAAAGAGAAAAAAATGCCTATATCTTCAATTTGCAACTATAAATGATATCAAAGGAGACTGTCTTATTTCTCTTAATAAAGGAATGAGTCTATATTGCTATCACTTATTATTAGCTTCTTTATTTGCATAGTACTAGGCAATTTGCATTAAGAACCTATTTTTCCCTCCTCTATTTTGTTTGTTTTTCAAATGAATTTACGTTCACAGTGGGAGACAGCATGAGAAACCTTGGATTTAACCACAGAGAATAGCAAGCAGTAGGCAAATTTCCTTTTTTCTCCCCTGCTGACTTGCCAGAAGAAAAAAGATTGCTCAGCCACTGTGCACATTCAGTTCTCGTCATCTGTAGTCTCAACAGGGGGGTCAGTAAAATGTCAGTGGGATTGCCAGTTAGCATTAAACACGCTGCTGACTTTTTTGGGGGGTGTGTGTATCCTTAGGTTTAATTCTCAATTCAAAAGCCACACTGCTGCTCTGCTGTTTACAGGCTATCATCTCACTAATTTGTATTTGGTTGATTTGCAGTCTTCTCCTAGCTCCTTTACATTTTTGTCTCTTGGGAAACCTCCAGGGCAGGAATGTCTCCACCTTTGTGTCTGCAAAGAGCTATATATTAGGATCTCATTTAAGCAAAAAATATACACAAATCTTCTTCATCACTCACGGACACAAATTGCCTCTACCAGACTAGAATTATCAATACATGTTAGCCCCTGAGCCCCTGTTTAACTACATTGTACCATCATAATGCTGGATTTGTGTTGCTATATTGAGTGTTTTGACAGCACTGATCACACCTCATTCACTTTTTTACCTCTGTACAGACTACTGATGTTTTTTTTTCTTTTTTTAAAAAAGTATTAGCTTGCTTAAGAAAGTGATCTGATGTAATGAAATATGTACCTGCAGAGCATGGGACACTGAATAGATGCTACATAATACTGATCAGAGAAACCATAACTTCTGTAGGTGGATAATATTCCACAATAAAAAACAATGCGTGACTTTCCCTTAGAGTAGTCCAATAAATAATAGATCATTCCTTGCAAATGAGCCCAGATTGGGCAGACAGGTTATAAGCATGCCATGATAGCAAATTAAATGTACCTGGAATTATTCTCTCTCAATGAGTCCTGCTCATAAGTTTTGTTACTCCTCCAAAACTGCACATCTCCATGCAAACTCCCTATGGGCTAAAACAACACCAGAGATGTGTAATTTAAGCATATGTACAGGCAGGTTCCAATGTCTGGAAGATTTCCAAACGCTGTTTAATTCATTAGTATAGGTGTTAATAAAGTGTCTACAAGCCGTAGAAGACTCCAGAGTTTTGGTAATCAAGCAATTTGCATTAAAGAATATGTTCAAGTGCTTGTAAGTAGTTTTGGGATCCAGCTATTCTCAACTTCTAATAAAAGCCTCTGACTACTGAGCTATTCAGCAAATGAAGTCTGCATGCAGCTGTATTCAGATAGAGGACAAAGCCTTTCTAAACTAAAACAGCGTGAAACAAACACTCCAATACTGATAAAACCACCTGATTTTAGGAACTTAGCTAAAGGCTTACCTTCTGTAGGTTCTTTTCATAGTTACAGGGTGTAAAACTTGCATGGGACTTACATCTTCACCTAGAAACACAAAGTCCCATAAGGTACTGGGAGAGAGCCCAGAGTGACTAAATTCCTCAGTAAGTATCACAACTAAATACTAAAACTTATATGGAATGATTCCTCTTTTTATGTCACAGGGAAAAACTGCTCATATGATTTCAATCTAATTGGAATTGAATTTGTTTATTGATTGATTAACAACATTAAAAGCCTATCAGTTAATTATTTATCTGGCATCAATATTAGCAGTACAGCAAATAAACCACAACACTAGACATTTACAAAATATTAAAAATATCTATAAATTTGTTAACTGCGAACAAGCCCTTGTAGAGTCACATTTGCATTATGAAATGGTGTCCCTTGCATCCTGCAAGCTGGCACAGGTTGCTCTATCTTTAAATCCTCCTTTTAATCTGACTTATTTTTTTCAAAAATGTCTCTGTTTAACAGAAAAAAAATTTTCTGTTTAATCTGGTTGATAGTTCTTTTCCCTTCCAGGGTTAGTTATTCAGGAGTAAAAACCCTTTTAAAATAGCTTTGAGTGTCTTGTACATACACATTCTTGTCTCACCAGTTTTTGTTATGCAGACCACATCAGATAGTGGGGGAGTCTGTGAATTCCCCCTCTAATCCCACATAAACCATTTGTTTATGTAGCTCACCTGGTACATGCTATGGAAAGAAATGATAGTTAGCAGTATTTGCAGATGGCATTGTTGACATGAAAAGAAGAAATCCAAGAGCAAAATAGGTGCTGTATGTGCTAAAAGCTCACTTTGCATGTTGGTTTTATATTGCTTACAAACCTGGGCCCTGACAAATGAGCAGAAACTGTTTTGGTGAAATTAATTGTGACTAACAGTGAATAACTGGATACAGAAAGTCAAATTCTCTGATAATTTTATTCATGTTTCACGTATATTGCACTAGATAGGAATGGATTGCTTTTTCTTTAGTTTCTTCTGAATAAATGTAAAAATTAATATATAAAGAGGTCTCATTTTAGACACATGCTTTATTCCATTTGTGATTTCCAGTCAATGCTTGCCATGGATAATTAGGTGGTCTAGCATTAAATTCTGTTAAGATTAGCAATTTATACTTCCAGTACTTATTTTAAATTAAATGTGGTTATGCACACGTGGGTGTATGTGAATGTGTGTATATTAGAAAGAGAATCCCACACACAGGACATGATTCCTTCCCCTCTCCACCACCACCCTCCAAGAAAAGCAGCTACTGGTTCTTTCTTAAAAAAAAAAAAAACAACAACAACTGAACAAGTCTGAATTTGAGGTACAACATAAAGTAAGTGACATTGCTGGAGGAAAAGAAATAAATAATAAGCAGGTAAAACCAGAATATCAGAAGTGACTATTGGGCAGGAGTGCTGTCTGCTTTAAAGTGCCTGAAGTCCCTGTCAGTTTAGAGAAAAACAAATGAAAATACCTATTTACCTGGTTCTTTAGCGCAAACCCTAAACGACTTCACCCTGCTTTAGGTCCTCAGGCAAAAACAGAAAATGTCAAGACTGAAGAAGATGTGCTGAGACTTATGACCAGAAGGTTTTCAAGCTGGAAGGCAGAAAAGGATCCCTTTGTGGTTGAAGAGGCAGAGTAAATTGCACATGCCTCAGCCTTGAGAGCTTTGGGTTTGTTTGTTTCTGAATTCAAGAGGCTTTAAACAAACCCAAAACAAACAAACAAAAAACATTTTTTTTTCTTATTTTGTCCCCTTCTCTTTGAAAATAATAAAATGAAATCATTTTCATTAATCTAGTCAGGTTTTTCTGGCTGTGTGATTTATTAACCAGAACCTGGGTTAATGATACACTGTTTGGGACTAAGATTTATCTCCAAGTCTCTAATTAATAATATTTTTCTTCCCCTTGTGCAAAATTCTTTATGGAGAAAAAGATTATTGTTATTTTTAAATTATTACATTGTAAGCTGCAAATTAGAAACCATCTATGTCCTTAGTCTGCAAGGTCTAGAAGCAGGCTGAAAGTGAAATCTCAAAAACCCCATTGACGATATAGGATGGAAAGAAGAATGCTATAGGATATAGCTGTAGGAATAGAATGATATAGAATGTTATAAGGATGGAAAGAGTACCTTTGTTCTGCATAAGATAGACACAGGCTAACACACAAGCTGTTTCTGATCATTATGCTTCCTTTTCACCAGTGGATAGGACTGGCAGTAGTTCAGACATAAAGCAGGTATAAATGTTCCAGCTGTAACTAGTAGGAAAATTGATTATATTGTTTGTGTTATATACAAGTAACACCTTTAGGAGGAATCAACAAGATTTCTCCTGAAACAACAGTTAATAGGCTAGTTAATAACAGCAGGCAGTAAAGCAGTCCGTCACCTTGGAGATTCTCACACAGGAGAATTCTCAGCAGATTTCTCCTGGGAGGGGTAAGGAAAAAGGATGACACCTCTTCACAGAATTGTCTAGGTTGGAAGAGACCTGAAGAACGAGAGACCTCAAGATCAAGACCTCTTGTGCCCTGCTTTTCTTGTTCACAAAAAATACATTTCAGAAGCATCAGAAAAGTTTGTCCTCTCTCACAAATACTTGAGTTTTGGTTTTTAACCATTGGATTAAATACTGGTATACAACCATTCCATATTATTTGTCTCCAAAACATACTTTAAGAGAATTTCTGATTTAGGTGAAAGCACAGGAGCAGTTTAGGTCACTGAATAATCATTGAAGAGAGCAGTCAGCTAATGTACTTTTTATTATTTATTTATTTACCTATTAGTATGAACAAAATGTTATGTATTCCTGGAAGCAGCAACCGTTTCCAGAATCAATACATCTTATACATCTTGTCCAGCTGTGGACCCAGCTACAGCATACATCTCTGCCTCTGGCAGGGATGGCTGGAAAATGGTGGGCATGAACAGTGCTCCCATGAGGGTGATTTTTCTAGTCTTTCATCTGGTGCAATTTATTTGCTTGGGTTTGAGTTGCCTATTGTTACCAGTTTTCTAGGTGATGTGAGAATGTTGCAGTTATATGTCAAACTACAGATTTAGTTTAGACAAAAATGGGTGTCTGGTGATACACATCTCAAAATCTGCTGTTGGTAGATGGCTGGAGGGCTGTTGTTTCAGGCAAGAGATCAGTGAAAGGTTTGGGATGATTTGCCTGGTGGTAGTAGTAATTATACCAATAGGACTGGAGTGACTCACAATCCTGGCAGTAAGCCAGACCCTCTTAAGTCTGCAGGGAACCTAAAGGTCACTCAGTTTTCAATTAATTGGTTTCTGGGGGCTCGCACTTTTCTGTGGCTTCCCTAAACTCTTAGGAGGGCTTACTTTTCTGCCTGTGCTACTTTCTGTTTTTATTGGCTTTCTAAAATCAAGACGCACCCTTCCTCTTTATTGTACTTGTTCTTCCCTGAAATTTCAATAAGAGCACAAAGGCTACATTTGAATGTCCTTATCTTTATGCAGATGTACTTTTATCTTTCATTCTCAAAAGTCCTAAATAGCAATATTGATTTAAATGTCTCTTTGTGATACATCTTGATAAGATGAGATACTTGTGTATTTCTTGACAAGGTGATGCAGACAGCAGACACAGAGTCTAAATGAAACACTGGTGGACATCACTGTTCTGGTTTTCATTGTTATCAGATTATTCAGCAAAGCAGGTTAACCAGTATTTTGAATTTCTTCTAGGTGGGAATAAAAGGAGTAAAATGACTTTACTAAGAGGTGGAGATGGGGGTAATTTTTCATGCAGCTTGACCCATTTTAAAGTCATATTTTTTTTCTAAATCATCCTAAGAAGTGTGGTATCTATGTCTGTCCACAGAGTATGCAAATAATTATGATAAATTGTTTTATCTGAACACCTACATTTTACATTACTGAAAGTGGACATGAGACGTACATGTACAATAAACCAGTTGTGCAAGTATATTTGAACATTGGCTTCATAGATCCCAAGAGAATGATATGAAACATTGTTGTGCAACTATAATCACCTATAGACTATTGGTCACTAAGATTGAAATAGGGAGTGGTTTGTATTTCTTTGGAAAATATTGTAAATATTTTATTTATATAGGAAAGAAGAAACAGTACGACTATTATAGAAAACAAAGTTTGTGGGGCTCTCTACAGATGGAGGTGAACAATGTGAACCAAAACATATTATACTATTGCCAAAAGCTGAGCGCTGAATCTTGTGTCCTGTGTGAACCTTTAATGCTGAAGTATGAAACTCATGTGATGAAGTATGTGACCACATCTATCAGTTAACACTAAGCTCAGACTCATGGAGTTTTATGTTTGACCCACCAAGGAAGACACAAGACAAATAGTCTCACTCTGGTTTATAAGCACTTCCAGGGAATCCATCCACATTTTTCTGGTTCTCTGTTTTCCTATGCTTGTGGGACAACAGTGCCTATAGACAAAATATCCTCTAAACTGAACCACTCTGTTAATCCATAAAGAAAATCTCACCAATAAAAACAATGACTATGACAAGTCCAACATGAGTATAACTTCCCAAGCTATGTTTTGGAGAGTAGCTAAATGCAGCATTCATAAAACTAAAGTGTCCTTCCACGTACTTGCCAACCCATTAAGAGGAGTGGTTACAATTGAATAAAATCCCTCACCACTCCATCCTGATAACTCACCCCTTCATCAAACCTAGCTGAGAAATCTAACATCCAGTTCAATTAAAATAAAAAACTGTTCCTTCCTCCTTTTCATACTAATCTGTTAAGGCACTAAGAGGATTTAAGAGGATGTGAAGTAAATGGATTTTTATACTCTCACTGGAACAACTCTAGCTGAATTTCAAATTCTTTAAAGCTTGAGTTCCAGTGTAATGTGATCATTGTTTTTAGGACTTCAGGGAAATGTTAAGAGAGGACTTCTTCCCAAATTTTAATTAAATAATAATAGAAATAATATCCAAGAATCAATATTGTTCTTTTTAGATTAGCCTTTATTTGTTACTGTTGTGCTTCGATGGGATTTGGATGTGCAGATGGTTTTATATCTTCCTGTTTATTTAGGCAGAAGGCTTTGTTTCTCCTCTTCCTACACATGGCCATTAATCCAGCCCCTGAATAAAATATTTCTGTTTCCAATGCTATACCACAGCAACTGAGAAAGAAGGAGAAAATCTAGGGGGAGAAATTTTATTTATTTATTATTTATTTTATTTATTTTGTACTTATTTATTTAGCATTTATTTTTTATTTAGTATTTATGTATTTTACAATTATTTTATTTATTTATTTTTATTAATTATATATCCCTATATATATAATTGTATTTATTTTATATTTATTCTCCCCAAGGAAAAAGATGATCTGTTATCCCAAAAAGCTGGTTTCTGATTTAAGTCCATTTTCTGTTTCCTCTGTGACAACCATGAGAACAGCCTGTTTAAGGTATTTTAGGGCTTCAGTTGTTCATTGAAATGAGGAAGTCAGATACAAGCAGCAATATACAGCATGAATGGTTAAATTTCAGTTACTGCAAACTATCCCTATAAGACAGAGAGACAAGTAGATGCTTACTTGAATATTTTTAAATATCACAAATGTATTTTGAGCAGGTGAGGATTTCTGCTGGAAATAATCTCAGCATGGCTCTATTGTTGTAATAAGATAACTTTACAATGTACATAGAACAATGAGACAGAAAAACAAAGTGATTGAATACAGCCTTTAAATTCAGGAGAATAGGATTTGTTGCTGCATGTGGTCCACTTGTAGTATCATAGCAATGGCACTTAGCTCCTAAAGAGCTGTTTTCATCAGTACATCTCAAAGCACATTACAAAGAGATGTGATATCCTTTTCTGTAAATTTGAAATAAGGTAATACTTATACAAGGGTACTCAGCAGTCTGTTCGATCAGGCGATACAATCCACTTTCTGCAAATTTTCATTGTTCTTGTCATTTGGCAAGGATGCTTCTCTTTTGCCTACACAGAAATCAGCCAGGGACTACTCCTATTCTAGGAAATAACTATAATTACACATGTGAAAAAGTAGTTGTGAAAAGAAAACCTGATCTTCTCTCCTTGAAAGCATAAGCCTTCCACTGTGCATATCACAGTGCCTCAAAGAGCAAAGGTGAATTGTAGGTTTATAGTTTCCCATAAACAATGTAGATTTAGAGTTTCCCATAAATAATGGTACATATGGACAGTCAAAAGGACTTTTAGAAGAGCTTCCCACTGCCCTTGTCATGCTGACATCTCTTGTCAGCCCTAAATGACTCCAAGAGTCAATGGGGCTATGCAGGACAGTATATATGTACAGTCTATGGACAAAATAGATTGTATCTGAAATGTATAGTGCTTTACTGGGCCCGAGCTCATTTGCTTTGCCTTTCAACTTCTTTTAGAGTTTCCACTTTAAGAGGAAATTCACCCTGGGTGATCTGAAGCAGCTCAGTACTACCCCCTTCCAATTGGTATAAACACTGGGCCCAAAGTACAGATAAATGCCAGGGCTTAGATGGTTTGGGTCTACTAGAGAGGATGTACTGCAGACATTGCAGCACCTATCATCTTGCTCAGTCACATGTGAATTTTAGAAGACTGGTGCTCCAAGATTTGTCTCAAAGGTCGGTGAATTGAAGTTATAGGCTAATAAAAATGTGAATTGGGGATATGAACTTGGGGCTTCAAATGCCAAGCTTTAAATCCTGAAGATACCCACTAAGGTCTGCTCTTTCAGATGTTTAACTCTCAATGTAGGTTGTACAAATACAGATTTTACTCCATACTTGAAAAAGGCAACCTGTTTTTCTGATTTTTTCTGTGGAGTTGGTGTCCCAGGCTGTATTGCTTAGCTGGAATGCTTGATTCTCCTTAGAGCTAAAGCACGTGTTGAGAACAGAGCCAATCCAACACAGATACTAAACAGCAAACCTCTCTATCAGAACTGCAGTCATACATTTCTCTCCCAGTATCTAGGAGATTGTTCTAATACCCTCTTAAATATTGTTAATCTCCTCATGGATCTGAGGAGTTTGTATGCGCAATAAGAAGGGAACAGATGATATGGGATGTGCTGGACACGATGCTGTAAAGCTTTCAAAATTAGAACTTCAGAAATTCTGGTGCATGGGAATCAGAAGAAAACATTTCAAAGTATCTTTTAATACTCCTCTTCTTTGAAAGGATCGTGGAATCTACAACATGGAAGGAAATGGGATGTGGATTTTATTTCACTATGTG